TCCTATCCACTCTCAAAGGATCTGGATGTTCCCTGGAATTCTTGGCTTAGTGGTTAAGGACAACCTCTTAACAAGGCTTTTTTCCCTTATTACAGAATGTGACTTAGGAAAAATGAGGCTTTGGATCTAGAGCATCTAGGTTCAAACTCAGCCACTTGTGGTACAGGCTCCATTATATATCACCCTGACCTTACCCTCTGTATCTGTCAAATACCCTCTGTATCTGTCAAATGGGGAAAAATTATACTAACTTTGAGAATCAAAAGAGAAGTTAAAGTTTTATAATATAATATACCTGCCATTGCAAATGCTTGAGAAATGACAGCTCATTACATTCTGTTGTATCATTTTTTTTCTTATTTTCAAAAAAATCCATGTAAATTATTTTATTGAAAATTTCAAGTGGGATAAAATATATGGAATAAAAAGTGAAAAGTCTCTTGAACAACCCTGACATCTCCATTTTAAGTGTAACTTTTCAAGCTTTTTTCCTATGTGTTTGCATGTTTACTGTTAAAATGGGGCCAATTTTGAGCCTCCCAACTTGCCTTTTGAACTGAGTATCTCAGATTCATCTTTTCCTATTAATAGGTTTAGCTCTGGCTTGTTCTTTATAAATGACTGCATAGTATTCCTCAATGTGACTATACCACAATTTGTGCAACCACTCCATTATTGTTTATAATTTTTCTTGTTATAAATCCTGCACAAACATCTTTGTATCTGTAGCAATATTTTGTACTTATTTATATACAACAAACATTTTGTACCCGAATGCCAATTATTCACACACATTATAATTTCTGTAGTTCAGATTCCCTAGAATTGTTGGAGTAAAAGACATGAACATTTCAAATTTGGTAAATATTGTAAAATATCTCCTAGAAAGAACATGCCAATTTACATATCCATTAACACCAGATGGGAAGGACCTTTTCTTCATACCTTTCGTACATTAGACCTTTTAAACCTCTCTTAACCTTTTTCTGCCCAGCAGGCATATAAATAGTATTTGCTGTCATTTTAATATCTAATCTCCAAACTTCTAGTGACTGGGCATTCTTTTATGCTTAACTGGTCTTCTACTATTCTGTAAACTGCCAACTTTGTTCATTTTTCTATCAAGTTGTTTTTACCCGTAGGAGTACTTTAATATGGATAGTAATCTTCTGTCATTTACATATACTACAGATTATTTCTCAGTTGTCTTTAACATTCTGAATTAATAAACTGATCTGGAGGGATGTGTTATCTTGCTTCTTCATCTGTCTGGCTGGTCCTATCCAGGACCCTGATAAGAATATACATTCAAATCATCTGTATCCATCAGCAAAGTTTTATTCTTTTCTCCAGAGGTCTTGTACACTCCTTTGTGGAAAAGTCAAGGGAGGCATCTCTGGGACCTTTCTTGCTGCTGCAGTACCATAGGATTTACTGCCCGTACAACCACATCTTTTCATACATGTTTTACTATCTTAACTGAACTGCAACTTGACTTCTTCCTTTTTTTTTTGGGGGGGGGGGAGTGGTAGTGTTGGGGATATAATCCAGGGCATCACACATACTAGGGAAGTATAGTACCACTGCAGCTTTCATAAGAGCAAAATCTTTGATTGCTGCCAGCTGCAGCTCTGAACTGTGTCTCAGAGCCTTGCACACAGTAGGTAGTCGATAAATGCTTGAGAGTARTGATTACTCAAGAGACTGGAACTCAAATGGACAGAGGTGACAGCTCCAAGAGGGAGCTGAGAATGCAAACGTTTCTTGAAGTATTCAACACCAACAATAAAAGATGAAGTATTTTCCATTGATATCCAATTATATAAAATGTGGAAACATCATTCTGGCCTGTCATATTTGATAGGGTGAAAAGTTTGCAACCTTCTAACAACTACTAGGAAAGAAGGAAGGAGACTGGGGAGTAAGGCTGGGTCTCAGAAAGACTCCACTGTCATTTATGTTCAGTAGATGCAGCACTGTTAACTATTAATAATATATAAGAAAACTTAGAAAGTCCTTCATCTAAAAACCACAGCTTGCTCTGAGGTTATTCAGGTCAGGGTTTAGGACACACACACATAAAAGTGACAACTTGAGTATACTATGGATCAAGTTGCAATGGTAGTTCAGGAATAGGAGACATGCTTCATTTGGGCATTCCTCTGTAGTGACAATGGCAGATGCAGACACAAGAGAATGCAGATTCAAAGATTAACTCACTGCCCCCAGTTTAATATAGGTCCTTAAAGGCAACCATTCTGGAATTAGAAATGCCATAAAAAACAAATCTCCAGCTTCCTCATAAATCTGCCTCACCCCTTTCTTTAGGGGAAAAAAAGCCCTAAGTTCCTAAAGGTATAGGCATGTTCAAAACAGGTGCTGAAATCCTAAAATGAGCCTCAATACCAGTATTTTCAAAGTGAGAAACACAATCTGGATGTACGTGTCTCCTATTCCAGTTATTTGAGAAACTCTTATCAAGTTCTTACCTCCTCCAAATGTCTCTACACAACTTTTATAATTCATAATGGGAAAACAAAGCAGTGAATTAAATTTAGCATTTAATTCAGATTAAATTATCTTAGTGATTTTTGACTTTTAAAAGACCAAGAAAACTCATATCAGAATGAAAATCATCCTAAGTCTGCAAATAAGAATAGCTTAATAATACCTGAGTAATACTTGGGAACCACATACAAACTAATATATTTTTCTTTCTTTCTTAGCATTTTAGCTGAAGTACTTTATATTTCTGTTAATGCTCTAAATCTCCCAAATGTAAACAGTGAATATTAAAAAATGACCAACACAGCAAATCTTTTCACTTTCTCTTTGTTACTCAAGGTTCCTTTAAGAATTCTATTTCTGGAGTTGTACTAAATTCAATCAAACATCTTAGTTTGGATACAAATTTAGGAGACAGCACACTCCAACACTTAACTATCTGCCAGAAGAGAGGATTCTGAGAAACATGAGAAAGAAGATGAAGAGACACATACAAAGACATTGAAGAAAACTAAAGATTAAAAATGACATCTCAGTGTAATAACAACAACAAAAGAATTTACACTATTGACATCTAATATTTAAACTAGAATTGTTTACCCCGAAGCAGACATTTATTCAAAACTCTTAATTGTGAATTACTGATTGTGTTGCATTCCTGGCTCTATCACTACTTTGCTCACTTCCCCAAGATTCAGTTCCTCTGTTCTCAGAATGGGAATAATGGCACCTACCTCATAAGATTAAAAACCACCTGGGATAAGCTGTCTAAAAGCACTTAGCTGACTACTTAGTACATAGCTAGTGCTTAAACGTTAGCTATCATAATCACTGCAATAAATCTGCTACCATTGGAAATCATGCAATTGAGCCTCTCAGCACTATGTAAAAATTGAGAGATCACCTCTATGTCAGACATGGTTTCAGTACATGGACTTTGTGACATCCATTCTGATTGCTCAAAGGTCTTTTTTGGTTTTGCTTACTTCCTGGATCTCAGCTATGTTCCAGGGAGACAGGTGAGGGCTGCAGAAAACAGAGTCAAAAACATGGTGCTACTTTAAATGTGGAGATTTTTATAAATAAACCAGGTAAAGGGAATCTCTGCCACCTGCTTCCTTTAGGACACCCATCTTTAACTGCCTCTGAAAAAAATTAAGTTCATGAGTTAATCAAAAGCTATTTCATGTGGCCGAACATCAAAAATAATGCATTTTGAGGCCATAGCATCAAAAATAATGCATTTAAAGAAATTATGTAAAAATTCGTGATTCTTAAGCTTTTAGGATTAATTAAGTGTAAGAAAGGTTTGTTCACTACCTCCCAGCAATGCTTGTATGAAATGTGTACTCCTGGGGAGGGACTGAGCCAACTCACTGGTGACGTGGAGCCAGGAACTGCATGACACCACATGAAACCTCAGCGGTACCCAATGCCACGGTTTTAGGAGAACCACTTATTAGATGGAGGCATTCGGAGTTTGACAAACTAGCTTGCTTCTCAAAGCAGCAAGAATGGCACCAAGAATTTCACTAAGAAGACCCACCTCCCACCGCCCCTCCCTTGGCAGGCATTATCCTGCCAGGACTTGGGTGAAGCCCACACAATTCTAAGCCCAGGCTTGGCTCAATACCCTACAGATTTAATAAGAATCTCAGTCTTTAAACGGGCAGGGTGGAAAGCGAAATGACCTCTCGCACCAACTCCCTGGCCGCCCCACCTCCTCGGGTGGCCTGGCTGCCACGTCAGGCGGAGCCGCCGCGGTCCTGCCCATCCTCCTCCCTCCAGTCCCATTGATTCGCGGGCCTCCCACTCGGGACCCTGCCTGAAGAAGCGCCCTAGGAAAGCCCAAGGCGGGAGACACATTTGCTGGACCTCCACTCCCATTACAAACTTTTCGGGCAGAACAAGGGCCGTAAGCAATTCGGCCAGCGCCCCTCCGCCCCAACCACTCAAGTTCGCGAGCGGACCCTGCGCGCTGCGGGGCCSGGCGCTGCAACACCCCGGCTCGGCCCAGGCACCAAACAGAGAGACCGAAGGTTCACGCCAGGCCCGAGCGCCAGGCGAGCCAGCCAGGGGGGTGTGTCGGCCCAGCGCAGTCCGGACAAGTAGCTGGGCAGCGGAAGCCGGCGGGTCCTCCCGGTGACCCGGCCCCGCGTCCCAGCCTTTCGGGGCCTTGCCCGGCCGCTCACCGGCGCAGGAGCGCGTCTTCCAGATCTTCAGCAGCAGGATGACGATGGCCGCCAGGTGGGACAGGTCCCCAGTCAGCCGGAAGATATTCATGGTGGCAGCGGTCGGCACGGCGCGGCAGCCCCGGGGCTCGGCAGCTCAAGCGGCAGAGGCGGCCCCTGAGAGGAAGCGGCGAAGATGGCGAGAGCGGGCGCGACGTGGCCAGGGACGTGGCCGAACTGCCGTCGCGCGCGCAGGGCAGCCTGGGAGCGCCGGCCGCCGCCGGCTCCGCCCTGGCCCCGCCCCTTAAAGGGGAAGCCCCGGAGCATCAGGCCCTGCCTGGCAGCTCAAGGGGCGGGCGGCCAAGGACCCCAAGTGCTCGCCCACTTCCTTTTCCCGGGCTTCCGGCCTCCCCTCGGATGCCAGCGATTTCCTTTAATTTTTGAAATGGCACACCCTTGGGAGGATTGTCTTTTTTCCCTCCCCCCTACCACTAGTTATAAGATCTCTAACAAGCTTATTGTATGAAAAAGAGGGAAATAATTCGGTATTGCATCTCTCAAGGTCGGCATTAGGGGTGTCGTGGAGGATACAGCTCATATAGGAGACCAAAGATTTTACCACTCCTGGGGGTGTCTTTAAGAAAGAGAATCCGAGGGGAGCACGGTGGCGGACTCCTGAAATCCCAGCAATTCTGGAGGCTGAGGTAGGAGGGTCGAAAGTTCAAGGCCAGCCTCAGTAAATTAATGAGACCCTGTCTCAGAATTAAAAAATGAAAAGGTTTGGGGATGTAGCTCAGTGGTAAAGTACCCCTGGGTTCAATCCCCAGTCCCTAGTTTAAAAAAAAAAAAGAGAGAGAGAATTCAAATACTCAGCCATAGAGCACTTTTCAACCTGGGTTCTAGTCCCAGAACTGGGGGAAGGAGGGTAGAAGAAAGGGAATGCAAAATTAGGTAGAGAAGTGAACATTCTCTAGGATGAGAAAAGAGATCCAAGAAATTACAAACAGAACCGAGCTGGCAGACAGGCTCTGCTACATAATTTACAGGACTGGTTCAAAATGAAAACACAGAATTCATAAAAGAGTAAAAGAAAAATGCTCTTAAAAGTTTAAAGTATAAAGCCTTTTCTTCTGCAGTCTCTCAATTTGTAGTGTTTCTTGTTTGCTATTTAAGAAGAAATTTTAATTATGATTTCATTTTTCTTGATTTTAGGCAAGTCAGCTTTGAATGCAAATATTAGAGCATTTTTAACTAGATGAGGGGTCACTGAAAAGATACAATTTCTATTTCTTGGCTTGTTTGTGGAGGGTGCCTGGGGTTAGCCAGAGGGATGATACAGCTGGCCCCAGGAAGGCTAAAAATAAAAAGAGGGGGCCCACCAGGCACTGAGAAGTCCAAGGGGACACACCTTCAGGTAAAAGGTGCCAAACGGGCTAGTGTAAACAATAATGTGGACCAAGGGAGCTTGGAGTGAGTTTGACACTCATGTGAGTCAGGGGAGCTTTGAGGGAGTTTGATGTCTTGAGCCATGTGTTGTCATCTGTTTCCTTGCACCACTCTATCTCTAGGCAAAGGGCAATCTTCAATGTATTATCACCCCCCTACCAGGTACCTGAATTGGGTGGGGAGAGATCTGACCCTGCTGAGTTGTCCAAATGCACCCTGGCACAAACCATGATGGATAACAACTATTGTGCCTTGCCCAGAGAAGCTACAGGGCACAGACTCTCACCTGACCCAACCTTCCCTGCACTGTGCACTTAGGTCCCTGCAGAGCAAAGGGTGGCAGATAAGAGCAGAGACCGGAGCCTGCACATCATGGAGCAAATGATCGATAACCCATCCTGGGAAGATAAAAGGTCAGCAAGAGGTAAAACCCACATGTGCCCATGGTCCAGGTCTATTTTGTGCTCCATTGTCTCATGGAGCTTTACTGCAAAACATAAAATAAAAGATAAAATTATTAAAAATTTCAAGATAGTAACTGCAGAACACTAAACCTTGAGTATGGGCCCTTATGAGCACTGAGAAATGGCATTGGCTTCTTGCCCATGAAACCAGTCTTGCTCATAGATTCTACCACAAAGAATACAAAAATCCAGAAAATGACACAATACTAATTAACCACTTTACGGATTTAAAAAAATTTTTTAGTTGTAGATGGACACAATACCTTTATTTTATTGATTTATTTTTTTGTGGTCCTGAAGATTAAACCTCTTGCCTCCCTAAATTTTTGTCACTATACATTCTGCTTACCTTTACACATGACTGAGTTTGCATATTTTCTATAAAGAGAATAGAAAAATGTTCTTCCTCTAGTGTTTTAGACAGCTTTATATCACTGTGACCAAAATACTCAACAAGAACAACTTAGAGGAGGAAAAGTTCATTGGGGCTCACAGTCTCAGAGGTCTCAGACCATAGATGGCCAACTCCATTGCTCTGAGCCCACAGTAAAGCAGAGGAAATCTGCTTACTTCAAGACAGCCAGGAAACAGAGAGAAAGAAGGTGGAAGAGGGGAAGGGGCTTCCGGGTTGAAGCACCCCTTTGGGGTATGCCCCCAGTGATCCAACTTCTCAAGCCACATCCTACCTGCCTACAGTTACATCATTCAGTTAGTCCATTCAAACTAGGATGGACTGGTTAGGTGACAGTTCTCACAATCCAATTGTTTTACCTCCAAACATACCTCTATTAACACAGGAACTTTGAGAGGACACCTCATTTCCAAACCATAATATCTAGAATAGCTGATTTTAAAATATTTTTGATTGCTTGAAATATTTCATGGAAATTTTTAGGACCAGTGTCACATTTGGAAACCCCCTCAGTCATGCTTCTTTCATATAAAAGTTGCAAGATTTCAGGGCATTTCTAGTTGTCTTGCCCAGGGACTAATGTGTGATACTTTCTGAATTGGTGACACAAGTTAACCATCTTGTTTGTGTTCCTTATAGTTCGTAGTTTTGAAGTTTATTCACAGATTACTTGATACTTCCCTTAAAAAGGGGAACTTCATTCCCATTACCTTAAATGTGGGCTGGACTTAGCAACTGACTTCTTACACATAGAATGTGGTAGGGATTGGAGATGTCACTCAGTGATAGAGCATGTACTTAGTATGCATAAGGCCCTCAGTTCAATACCGAACACCAAAAAGAAGAAGAAGAATTTTGTAGAGATGATGGCTTGTCTCTAGAGGCTAGGTCATAAAAGGTACTTTGACTTCCTCCTTCCTCTTCTCTCCCTCTCATCACTCATGCTCGGGGAAGTCAGCTCTCCGGTCACAAAAACATTGAAGCAGCCTTATGGAGAGATCCATGTGGTTAGAAGTGGTCTTCTCATGGAAAGCCATCAAGTGACCTTCTGCTAACAGCCACAGGAGTGAACTATCTTGGAAGCAGTACTCCAGCTCCAGTCAAGCCTTTGGATGAATGCAACCTTGGTTGATGTCTTCATTAATTGTTGGGAAAACATCATTTGAAATAAGATCTTCTGAGGCTGGGCTGGTAGCTCAGTGGTAAAGTGCTTGCCTAGCATGTTTGAGGCACTGGGTTCAATCCTCAGCAACACATAAAAATAAATAAATAAAGTTATTGTGTCCATCTACAAATTAAAAAAAAAAAAAAACAACTCTTCCATTTCCAGGTTTTGGGGAAAAAACAAACAAATGAAATCTACCAAATCAGTAAAAACCTCTGCTCAAAATGCACAAAAGAGCCAGGTATGGTTGTTCACACCTGTAATCCCAGCACCTCGAGAGGCAGAGACAAAAGGATTGCAAGTTCTAAGCCAGCCTCAACAACTTAGCAAGGCCCTAAGCAACTTAACAAGACCCTGTCTAAAATTTTTAAAAGCCTAGGGATGTGGCTCAATGGTTAAGTTCCCTTGAGTTCAATCCCCAGTAGGTTAAAAAAAAATGCAGAAAAGACTGAAAACATTTTATTACTGAATAATCCTCAAAACAATTGTGATGACTATCACAGGCAGTTTGCTACAATCCACTAGATTCCCAAAGAAAAAGAAATTTCAGTCTTCTGTAGAGCCAGGCAGATACAATCCATTGAACTATAAATTGTTTATCCCCAAAGAAAAAAAATTATGTTACTTTATTTATTTATTTTTAAAAAGGTTTTTTTTTCAGTGTTGGGATTCAAAGCCAGGGTCACAAGCATGCTAAGGAAGTGTTCCATCATTGAGGGAATATCCCCAGTCCCTGTGTCTTTTTGACAAGCATGAGGAAATCATAACTTGGAGCCAGGCATCTARGCTAAATTTCCACAACCAGAGAGACAGAGCACCATTCTCTTCCTCATTATTCATATTTCAAAGAGGCCTCCAGGAAAGACATGCCTAAGGTGCAAAACTGGCAAGGGGTTTATTTAGCTTTGAAAATGACTTATATACTTCTTTCTCTTTTGGCACCAGGGAAATCTTAACATTTTTAGGTTTTTATTTACTCACCTTCATAGATTTCCATGAAGGCACCCAGAAGAGCTGCTCCCAAATCCCTGGCTTTCAGAAACTTTGAGATAATGAAAATGCTTCCCACCTCTTGTACTGGGAATTGAACCCAGGGGAACTCTACCACTGAGTTACATCCCCAGCTCTTTTTATTTTTTGAGAAATGGTCTGGCTAAATTGCTGGGAGTGGCTTTGAACTTGGAATTTTTCTGCCTCAACCTTCACAGTCAATGAGATCATGGGTATGCACAACTGTGCCTAGTGAAAATGTATTATTTCAAGGTGGTTAATTTTAGAGTAATTTATCCAGTCACAAATAACTAATACAGGGGTGATGCAAAAAAAAATGCAACTTTATCCAAAGACATGCAGGATAAATTGTACTAGGGTTGGTACCTCTATATAAGGAAACACAGTCATTCTATTTTACTGAATTACCATAAAAAGAAAAATAGACCAGGTGTGCTGGTGCACTCCCAGCAGCTCAGGAGGCTGAAGCAGGAGGTGAGTTCAAAGCCAGCCTCAGAAACTTAGCAAGGCCCTATGCAGCTCAGTGAGATCCTAACTCTAAATAAAATATGAAAAAGGACCAGGGATGTGGCTCAATGGTTAAGGACCCCTGGGTTCAATCCTAGGTACTAAAAAAAAAAATAGATTGTATGTCCTCATGCTAATCAAAATATCAAAACACATATTCTGGAATGTTAAATTTCTGAAAAATCAGAATCCCTAAAGTCTAAAATTCTCTAAAGATCAAAATCCTGAAAATCACAATCCTGAACAATTAAAATTTCAAATTCCAAATTCTTGAAGTTGGAAATCCTGAAAACCCCAATTTCCTGAAAGAAAGGACTATATAAAGAGGGATAGAAAAATGGGTGCAGTGGTCCATGCCTGTAATCCAGTGACTCAGGAGGCTGAGATAGGAGGATTGCAATTTCAAGGTTAGACTYAGCAATTTAGCAAGCCCCTCAGCAACTTAGTGAGACCCTGCCTCAAAATTTAAAAAATTTAAGCCAGGTATGGTGACACATACCTGTAATCACAGCAACTTGGGAGGCTGAGGCATGAGGATTGCAAGTTTGAGACACCAGCAACTTAATGAGTCCTTGAGGACTTAGTGAGACTCAAAATAAAATATTAAGATTAAAAAAGGGTGCTAGGGATGTGACTCAGTTCAATCCCCAGTACCAAAGAGAAAAAAAAAATTAAAGGACTGGGGAAATAAATCAATGGTAAGGCACCCCTGGATCCAATTGCCAGTACTAAAACAAAAAAGAGACGGGAGAGAGAGAGGGAGAGGAAGAAAGAATTGAAGTATAGGGAAGGGATTAGTGTGATTTTGTTTGTATGCAGGATAATTGTCAAATTATTCAATCATGTACTACTTCTGCCCCTCCACATAGCATTATGCTTGCCTTCAAAAGTACCCTTTATCAGAAAATGAAAATAATTCTACATACTCAGCAAACTTCTGAACCAAAGACACTTGCTGATACAGAGGTTACAAAATGCATTAAATGGTAAACTATTCTTGGTAAGGGATTTGACACAAAATGCATTAAATGGTAAACTATTCTTGGTAAGGGATTTGACTATCAAAGAAGAAAGATTTGTATTACCACATAGAAAAACCATCACAAGCTTCACTTTGATTAATATATGGTGCTTTCAGAATTGTCCCACTGTGTGCTTTTTACTATGTATTTATTTTTATATGGTGCTGAGGATCGAACCCAGTACCTCATATGTSCAAGACAAGCGCTCTGCCACTGAGCTACAACCCCAGCCCTAATTCCAGGAATTCTGAATGAATTTAAGCTGCATTGCTCAGAAGTAGCCAGTGAAGTTATTAACTGGTCCAAAAAAATAATTATGTGCATGATGATGTATCATCCCTAATGAAAGGGGGACAGTAAAACCTCATGTCCCTGAAAAAATTCTAGAACTTAGCCACATGTTTATGAATTAATGACAGGAAACTGCAAAGCAATTTGTAAACATTTATTTGGTTTATAAGATGGTGGGTTTTGCAGAAGAAAAGGGATTTCAGTCAGATACCCAAACCATGATGATAGCTTTGTAATTAAGTGGAATCCACAAGTGAATTTCAAGATGTAACCAGTAAGTGTTTTTTTTTTTTTTCCATTCAGTTCCTTAAATTTTGCAGAAAATCTGATGAGTGGATATTGCCATCTATCCTAGCTGGTGACCTAATGCTGGGTTCACAAAATCTGACTATTCCAATCGTTTAAGAAAACGACAAACACACAGAAGTACCTTTTCAGAATCTGAGACAGCTCTCTGACCTTAAGGGTCCATGGAAAGAAGAAGAGCCACTGGAATTCTTTATTCTTATATAGGGGACACACAAGGGGGGGGGCAGTTTCCATAGAACATTCTATCCCAGTAAGGGCAAAAGGATAGGATTACAAAGGAACAGGTGAGTGTAACTCAACCCCAGCAGGTGACGCCTACTCCTGGAGCCACACCTTGTTATCAGAGCTRGGGTAACGCCCAAGTTACTGTGACCTGGCACTAACCATGCCAGACTAAATGCAGTAATTGTTCAAAACCCCTTGCATTACCAGGACTTAAGGTGTCTGCATCCAGGGCAGCTCCCAACGAGTGGATTGACAGTGCACAGAGCAACAATGAAAACTTCAATTTTGTCAATAGTTTGAATTGGTATTCCTTCCAGCTGATGAAATTCCAGTAACTGACTATATTAAATTTTTTTTCAGTTGTAGATGGACACACTACCTTTATTTTATTTATTTATTTTTATGTGGTGCTGAGGATCAAACCCAGTACCTCATACATGAGAGACAAGCACTCTGCCACTAAGCTACAACCCCAGCCCCAATTCCAGGAACTTTTAATGAATTTAAGCTGCATTGTTCAGAAGAAGCCAGTGAAGTTACTAACTGGTTCAAAAAATAACTATGTGCATGGTAGGATATATCATCCCTAATGAAAGGGAGACAGTAAAACATCATGTCCCTGAATACTCCATTCTGTTTCCAAAAACCTAGCCAAGTTAAGGGAACAGTGAGATAAAGCCTGGGCCAGATATCCAAACATATTCTTTTGAAGACCTTTTCTTTTACATAGTAAGAGCTGGGACAAGTTAGTGTTACCGGTAGAAAGCTACTTTCTTGCATGGTATACCAGAACCGTTGCTCCTTGGGATGTTGGTCCTACAAGCAAACTAAGCAAGCTGATGCTGGTGATGTCACTGCTTCTGCAGCCTAACATAACCCTCTCTCAGTGGGACTGGCACAGAACTGAGGGCACCATGAAAAGGATACATGAGGCTGGCTTTGAACTTGCAATATCTTCCTGCCTCCGCCTCCCAAGGCGGAGGCAGGAAGATATTGTTCAGCCAGCCACCATCAGAATAGAAAAGCTCTGTGAAGGAGAGAAGGCACTGCTTAACACTTTGAGGAACAGAGGTCCTATTTGTTCAGCTTATCAGCAATGAACTCTTCCTGAAGCAGTTACTGATCTCTTGTAAGCCTTCCCTGATAAATCATATGTCTTGCATGCTGTATCCGGGTACTTTCTTTGGCTTTTCTGAAATCTACCCACTGCCCTGGTACAACTGGGCTGTAGGTGTGACCAAGAATAAGATACTTATGTGACAGTGGTGCTGTTCCATCATTAGTATTGTTTCTGCCAAATCTGTAGTCTATATGTGTGTACATGCAGAATGGACTTTCCACATACCAAAAACAACATAGAAACATGGCACTGAAGATGGAGGAAAAACTGGAAGTGGGCAGTACTGGGATTGAGCCCAGAGGTGAGCTCTACCCCAAGCCCTTTTTTATTTTAGAACAGGGTCTTACTATGTTGCTGAGGCTGACTTTGAACTGGCAATCCTCCTGCCTAAGACTCTGAGTTGCTGGGATTTACAGACATGTGCCACTATCCCTGGTTTCAGAAGATAGAAAGTTTTCATAAGGTATGCTCATGTCAGTGTATATTGAATCATAGAAAAATTCAAGAACAGTGTCACCTACAAAAA